GACTCGGTTTTGTCATTCAGTGCCCTAAACCACCAAAAGAATGTATCTTAGAAAATAAGAAGAACCCCTGAAATCCCTCACTGAGTCAGGGCTTCAGTGCTCAGTCCAACCCACCCGGTGCAATCTCACGGTTGAATTACACACCAGGAAAAAGAAAACAATTTGCCAAAAACTAGACCAGAGGTGACTTCAAAGATATCTGTAATAGTGCACAGGAGGAGCAAACGGCCAGAGTAGCGAACAGAGACCTGTGCTGCTCACACTCTTCTATGCAAAATGACACTAAAATAAAAATAAATAAAGCATGTTAAAACCAAATCCACCTAATCCTGATTAATCACGTTTTAAAATCCAACAACAAAACACAGCACCCTCTCTCTGCGCCTTCACAGGTCTCTCCACTGAGACTTTCCAAGAATGCACTCTGTCCTTTAGGAGAGGTCACTCGGGACACTCCCCCAGTGATGTCAGTCTCTTTTTGAGTCCTTCAGAAGAATCCAAGGCATGTCCAAGCAGTAGACGGGTCCAACATTTCAGCTGTGCCATCCTAGCAAGCCAGCTGAGGCCTGGTTTACAAGTATTCTGCTGCATACCAAAAGGTTACTGTAAAATCTGTAGGAGTTTTGTACCCTGCCTGTACACTCCTCCCTACAAATGCCTAAAGGGTTTCTCTTTCTAAGGTTGGACTTCTTCACCTAGTCCTCAGGGCTTTGATTAGATCTCAGAACTTTCAAAGAATAAATCTGTGAGTGTATTCATTTCTATCTATGAATCCAGTGCCATGGTACTACATCATCCAGTGGCTGTAAGACGTATAAAGCAAAGTATTTGAAAGTTTTAACATAGTACCTGGCACAGAACAATGCCCATTAAAAGCTTATTAGTCCAAGAGGCTGAAGTAGGACGACGGCAAAGTTGAGGCTACTCTGAGAGACAACACACCTCAAAATAAAAAAGGGCTGGAGACACAGCTCAGTGGCAGAGCACATGCCCAGCATGCATGAGGTCCTGAGTTCAGTCCCCAGTGCCAGAACAAAAGAAAACTTTACTTGTTCTTTTACTATATTTAAAAAGGAAATAGTGTTCATGTATGAAGTTTTCATGTTAATATACAGGATGAGCTTCTGCTTTGTATGATTTACATTTTTACATAGCTTCATTAAAATATCTGACATCTGATTTGCAGAGTAATTTTATGGTAACTATCCAGATGGGCAGAAAGGAAAATCACAAACATGAAAAAACTGTTTCAAGATAAGAAAGATTAAGAAGCATTAACTCTCACTGATTCTACTTTCATTAATTTTGTTTACCATCTATCCCATGTATTTCTCCTATTGTCTCCACTAGCTAAAAAGCAGCCTGGGAATGAATGTTCTTAGTTGTATCTTTTCCATCATTGGAGTGATCCTGCTGCTGCTGGATCTGTGTATCAAAAGCCATGATCAACAACTCGCCTGGCCGTTGGTGAGTATCCCATCATCTGCCACACATCTGCTCTCTCCTCCACCTCAGAGGGAGTCTGCTTTTATCTCCAATTGCTGTACGGCAACTCCAGCTGAAAATCCCTTTTTCCATCCCTATTCCTGGAGACGTGTTGAGGGAGAGTAATGGCCGCATTGGTTTAGGGCAGACAGAGGGTCCCCGACTGGTCTGTTCCACTGTTTATCACATGAACAATGAGGAAAGGATGGGACAGGCTGCCAAGACTTGGGAAGAATCCTTCTGATTACTTCTGCAACAGTTTGAAAGTCTACATAAATAAGGTACTGAAAGTACTGAATGGTTCTTTACTTTTAGAGTAAGAACTGGGTGAAGGAAAATGGCGGTGACAGGACGTTCAGCTTTACTAGAGACGCACAGAGAGTGAGGGAAAGCAAAGTGAAGCGTGTGGCTGAGTGTGCTCAGCACAGAGGCATCTTTTCGTCGGTGCCATTTGGACTGAGCAAGGACTCTGACCCTGGAGCAGATACATAAACACTACTTTTTGAAAAGCAGCCTATTTAATGGGATGCAACTTCTTTTTCTTCTTAAAATCATGTAAGTCTTAAAATCGTATAAAAGCACTTTCATTTTATCTTACTTTCTCTCACTCCCTGTTTTCCCTTTCTTGCTGTCACTTCGTGGATCCATTCCTCATTCTGCCTGGTCCCCATGCACCAGTATCTAGGATATGGCCATTGGTATCTCTGCTGGTCATTTCTGGGCAACAGCTTTTGAAATCACTGCTTACTTCCTATGTCATTTGCTTTTCATTTAATGAATAATATTTTTATAAATACAAAGACTACTGCAAAGAAAAAAATCTGCTTATTTTCTGATATTTCTAACAAAACAGTCTACTTCACAGAAAAGAAATTTTTCTGATATTTTAAAGAAAATTCAAAATAAATTTGTATTCCTACAAAATAAGTATCTGATGATAATGCAGAAATAAGCACGGAGCAAAATAAGGAGCAACAGCACGTGCGGTGAGCAAACCACTTTCTGAAGCCCTTGTGAGGGCCTCCCAATCAGCCGAATTTCAGGATAGTATTTACTTCTCATTTCAGGTTTATGGAAAAGGAATCTCAGCCATGGTGATGTTCTTCTCTCTCTTGGAGTTATGCATAGCTTCTGGCACTGCCCATGCTGCCACCCAGGCCATCAGGAACCCCAGCAGGGTGAGTTGGGCTCTTTGTAAAATACGGGAACGCATGCTGGACAAGTACAGAGGTACAAGTCTGCTGCATCCCCATGCACGGGTAGGCAGCGTCCCACTGTGAGCTCGCTCCAGGGCTCCGAGTCCTTGACTCTGCTGGGATGGGGACACGGAGTGGGGATGTACTAACAACACGGCCTGTTTCTGTTCCTTCTTTCCAGTCTGCCCAGCTTATTCCAAACAACCCTGTGATGCAGGAGTCCACTCCAGCTCCTCCCAGAAGTGACAGCCACCACAGATATTAAACAAAAAAGGGCTCTGTGAACTAGCATCAAGTAGAACTACTATGCAGAAACTTCTTGAAAGCCGACTCGTCTTCCACAGTCACTGTCAATCGTTAGATGTGTTTCAAGTTCTTCTCAGGATTCTCGCTCATGACAACTGTATGTCCCAGTTGCTCTCTCTTGACACGCTCCATGACAGCACTCTGACACAGGTGAACGACTGGGAAATGATCCTGCAACCCTCAAAAGTTACACATTTTCCTGTTCATGCTAACTTTACCTCAGAAACACGTCATAAAGAACATAAACCTTTGGTGATTTATTTGAAATTCATTTTGGTCTGACACTGACTGTAGGGAAACAGATCTAACAAAGCACTTCAAGGCAGATGGGTAAAGTTTTTGGTGATGACTTGCACAGTGGCCAAGTCACCAGCATCCTTTCCTCAACCACCTCCCCTTTCTGCTCAGAAAACAAATGTCCAGTGGCCCTTGTTGGAGTCACGTTGTTTTGCGCACTAGTACCCTCAAAGCTTTGTGCGCAGCCCCTTGGAAATCTGCCAGACTTATTCCAGGAAGCTATCATTACTCTGATACCAAAACTGGACAAGGACTCCACAACAACAAAAAAAGAAAACAACAGGCCAATTTCTCTAATAAATACACATGAAAAATCCTCCACAAGGCACTTGCAAACAGAACACAACAAGTCATTTTTAAAAGTTGTACAATACAATACTCTGGTTTCTCTTTAGATTCACCTTATACTAAAAATTATACATCATGACAATTGGTTTCATGCAAGGGATGCAAGGTTGGTTGAACATGCATAAATCAAATCAATAAAAATGCTACATCAGGTCAACAGAAGCATATCAACAGATGTAGAAAAAACCTCTTGAAAAAATCCAACATCTATTTATAATAAAAAAGAACCTTGATAAAAATGGTATAAAAGGACCTTACATTAAATTGATAAAAGACATTTAAGTCTAACCTGCTGCTGATGTCATAATAAATGGGGAAAAACTGAATACATTCCCTCTAAAATCAGGCAGAAGACTAGGCTGTCCACTTTCAGCACTCCTGCTCAAATTAGCACTCAAAACTTTGACCACAGTAATCAGGCAAGAGAATGAAATAAAAGGGACTCAAGAAAGGAAAAAGTCAAATCATCACTATTTGTACATGGCATGATTCTTTACATAGAAGATCAAAAGAAATCCACCAGAAGACCTTTAGAAGGAATTGACAAATTCAGTGAAGTGGCATGATAAAAAATAAGCACACAAATATCAACAGAATTCCTATACACTGATAATGAACCCGTGGACATAGAAATTAGGAAAACATTCCCAGTCACAAAAGCTTCAAGAAAACATAAACACCTAGAAATTAACCTAATCAAGGAAGAGAAAGACCTCTATCATGAAAAATATTAGTTTGTAAAAGGAGATTAAAGAGGGTGTTAGAAAACAGGAAGCCAACCTCTATTCTTACATAGGTAGAATAAATATTGTCAAAATGGACATATTACCAAAAATGACATGAAGCACTCATGCAACCCCAATTGAAATATTCATAGCATTTTTCACTGAACTATACAAACAATTCTCAAATTTATATGGAACCTGAAGACACCCAGCACAGCCAAAGCAATCCTGACCTACAAGAGCAAAGTAGAAGTATTACAATCCAAGCCTCAAGTTCTACTACAAAACAATAATACTAAAAACAGAATTGTACCGGCACAAAAACAGACATGTTGACCAATAGAATACAATAGAAGATGCAGAAAAAACCCCAAGCATCTTCAGGCATCTGACTTTTTAAAATGGGGCCAATGCTGGAGAAAAGTCTTTTTAACAAACAGTGCTGGGGAAACTGGTTATGCTTATGCAGAAGAATGAACCTGCACCCATATTTCTTACCCTGTACTAAAAACAAATCAAAATAGACCAAAGACCTACATTTTTTAAAAACTGAATGTGCTGGAGGAAAAAAAAATCACAAAACTCTTGAAGACATAATAATAAGCAAGGACTTGCTGATCAAAACCCCAGTTGCACAAGTCATAGTACCAAAAATCAAAAAAATGGGGTTAGCTTCGGCACAGTAAAGAAAACAACCAGTGGAGTGAAGGGAAAACCTACAGAATGGGAAAATTTTTCCAGTTTGCCCTCAGAAAGAAGTCCACTCTACAGAATATATAAAGAACTCAAAAAAATTAGACCCCACAAAAGAAAAGACCCAATTTAGAAAAATGGGCAGATGAAATTAATAGACACTTCTCAAAAAAGTACTAATTGCCAATAAATATATGAAAAAATGTTAAGCCTCTCTGGTCATTAGCAAAATCCTAATTCAAAAAAACACTGAGATTCCACCTTAATCCAGTAAAAATGGGATGAAAAAAAAAAAAAAAAGAACTGAAACAAAATGTTAGTGAAGTTATGAGAGGAAAAAAAAAAAATGAACCTTTCTATGTTGTAGGGGGGAATGGAAACTAGTACAACTACTATGGAAATTCCTCAAAAATCAAAACTAGAAATCCAACTGACCCAGGTGAAGTCATATTACACTGACACAGTCATACCCATGTTTATAGCAACACAACTCACCATACCTAAATTACAGACAGAGTCTGTATGCCCATCAACAGATGAACAGATAAAAGAAAATGTGACATGCACAGATTGTGCAGTATTACTCAACCATAAAGAAATATAAATTTGAGTTATTTGTAGGAAAATAGATGATCATGGGGCTATAATACTAAGTGAAATAAATCCAACATAGATGGCTAAATATCACATAGCTTCTCTGAAATAGAAATAATTTTTAAACCAACATAAATGATGTTAAAATTTTAAAAAGGGAGTTAGACTTTGTACAGACAGGGAGAGGGCCTTGGAAAGGAAGGAGAGGAGAGGACAGAGGCAAGGGTATGAAAGTGATGAAGATGTGATAGGTACAGGTACCAATTCCCTACGATGAATGTAATTACTGTGCATGGCAAGCATAATTAAAAAAAAAAAAAAACTTTGAGTAAAGTCTTCCTGGCATCCTGCTAGATACTCTCACTAATATCCTCCCTTTCTTACTTATGTTTGGTGGGGGGGCTGACCCGTGAACTCAACTGCTTGCCTTCTTCCATACTCACACGTCCTAAAGGGCTTTGTGGTCAACGTTTCTCTTTGACAGAAAAAGTGAAGGACTGACTTTTCATCCATGGCCCTGATCCTTATGTGTGGAAGAGGGGCAAAGGCAGTTGAACACCCACAACCAAATTCGGTCCCCACTTTGTCGCCATTTCTAGACTGCGAGCCCACTGCATGCGCGCATGCGCTCGCTGAGGCGAGCATGCGCAGGAGGCCGTTGCCTTGGAGACCCTGGTCCCTGGGCGCCTGAGGACCAGTAGGCTGGACTCGGCCACCTCTGTGATGCCACGCGGCGGGGTCCAGTCACCCGGCTCTGAGGGCCACCCCAGGCGGAACCTGCCTCCTCAGCCTGGGCTCTGGTGAGGATCCGGACCCGGGGACCCCACAGCCTGCCGGACCTCCGCGTGCCACAGGAGAGGCTGGACTTTGAGGGGTAAATTGGGAGGTAGCGCAGACCGCAGTCCTCGTAGGGACCTGCCTGCGGGGTGAGGGGGTGACAGTGCGCTTGGAATGCGGCCTAGGGGACTTGTTCGCAGCCTGCTTTTCTGTTAGTACGGGGGTCACAAGAAAATAAACACAAGTGATTACTTCATTACTTTTCCTTGCTTTCATAAAAACAGGATGCATAATTGGGAGGTAGAATAGCCAAATGCAGAACATTTTTAGAACTCCAACCAGTTATTTCTTGAATGTATTGGAGTACTTCTTTCATCCATCAGCTAAGCTGGGAGTTTTAAACATAGGCATATACACTATTTTTTCTCGTTAGCTGTTTGATGACTATTTCTCTTGGGGTGGCTTTGGTGGCACCTAATAGAGATTATAGTGATAATAAATATTTTATTCCCCCAAGTCTCGTCATGCTTCTTACACTGTTAAGCTATTTCTGTGAAAAGAATTTATCTTTATACACAGAAGGACTTCTTCTCACTTTCCTGTGTTTTGATAAGTGACAGTAGCAATCTTGATACAATTTTTTCTCGTTACACAAATTCTATAATTCTGTGGCATTTTATTTCATCAGGACAGAGATTAAACGTGGTTGCCTAAGGCCTGAACCCTTTGTTACTTCTCAAATGTGGTGTCGGGATGTTGGCAGCTCACCTCAGGTACAAACGTGCTGCTTTCTCTCTTTTACTAATGCTAGCTGTCATGACGTTTAGACACACTAAGAAATTAAATTTTAGACGCCAAAGGTTCCTGAAAATAGTTAAGTCATTAAACTTGAAGGTTTTGGAGTCATTCAGTCAGAACTTCCCCTTTTTGAAAAGACCAAGACCAAAATTACAATCATCAGGTGGCGGGACACACTACTGAGTTATGCATGACACATTTAGCATATATAGAGTTTCGTATCTACACAGGGAGATAGAGCTACTAGCTAGGATTTTATCTATGTAAACGTGATCTAAGCACAGGAATAACAGGAAAGAAAGGAACAGGAAATACATTTAGAATAACAGAAGCTACTTTGATAAGATATTGACAGAAAAAGTTATTTTAATACAGAAAGAAGAACAAGGTAGCAGGTATACATGGACAAAAAATCACACTGGCCAACTTAAGTACAAGAACTTAGTTTTGAAAATGTAAACATGTCAGCATGAAGCACATTAAATTGACTATTAATTGCAAATGAATTGTTGAAACCTGTATTGAAAATTGCCTGCCAGTCCCTTGGTGTCCCTTATGCTTGCTTTGTTACCTAGAGATACTGTTAACAACTAAGAGATAAAATCTGTAATAGACCAATATTGTTTAGTCATCCATCCAGGCTTTCCAGTCACAGACAGTCATTCAGGATAGGCGAATGCAAGAGGATGCCTCTAAGAATTAAACCATAGAAAGGAGAAAGCTGTTGCTTCTGAGTTTGGGAGGTAATTGCAAAACTATTTTTAAAAAAATCAAATTTGTGTATTTTCTTCTCAGAAAATCATGTGTATGTGTTTTGTTGCTCTTTTTAGAAGTTTGATAATAAAGATATCACCAGAGGTTAGAAACAACTAGAGGAAGTGCTAGTAGGATGGCGTGTGGGAATGCACACATCTCTAAATCAGACAGTCTTGCTGTGGGGGTAAGTAACATTCCACTTGCATGGTCATAAAGTAGTTCAGTTTGGGAAAGTGTGGTGGTGTTGGACCTGAAAGAGGTAGATTTAGTTCAATCAAGGCATAAAAGATCTTTTTAAAAATACATAGATTGTCTTTTATAAATTTTGACTGATCTCATGTCTTCATAAACTAAAGTGTAGTTAGAAGTAAGTGTAGTAACCAAGCAAACACATGCAGGATAATAGAGAAAGCAAAATGAGCAGTGAAATTTTAGAGAAAGAATATGTATATGCTTTCCTTAACTGTGAGAGAGACCTATCATTGCTGATTTTATGTCTGTGCAGTAAAATGATTATAAATTCATCTGTTTCTATTATAGATTTGTTCTACTAAGTTATAAACCTGTTCAATTACCAATGTCCTACTAAGTTATAACCCTGTTAAACTATAGATTTATGTAGTTGTCTTAGTAAGCACTTAGTAAGTAAGTATAAACCTGTTCAATTACCAATGTCCTGCTAAGTTATAACCCTGTTAAACTATAGATTTATGTAGTTGTCTTAGTAAGCACTTAGTAAGTAAGGAATTATGAGGATCGTGTACTTTACAGCCTACAGGGTGAGGCACCATTCTCAGTAACTCTAACGTCTTTAACTTCTTGTTTGAATGTGGGTACTGTGTAGACCAGTTGTCTAAGTTTCCTTCCTGATTGTTAGCAGAGGTAGTTAACCTTTTGAGGTAACAGACCACTTTGGGTATGGAATAAAAGCCATGGGTCTTCTCCTGAGAATTTACCCCTCCTTTTTTTTTAATAAGTGAGAGGGAGGAAGTCTGACTTCCTGGAACTTATTCACTGGCTCTTCAGTAAGAACCATTTTTAAATAAGAAAACCCAACTTGTCCTTCACACACTGGCAATGTGTTTTTTACAAGCTTTGACTATTAAGATACTTTATAATTTTATAGAACAATACTCACTGATATACAGAGATATTATATTTCCAGCCCACTTCTTTGGACCATGGAAACATATGTGGAATTAGTATCCCAGAGAGCGCTGTGCTCTTGCGGCGATCACTAGCCAAGAGGCTGGTGATACCGTAATGAGAACAAAGTCCAGGCCCCTCTGGACTTTCAGTCCAAAGGAAAATATTTCTCCCAGTCAAATCCAGAGAAGCTCTGAATGATACCATCTTTGCAAATTTGATGCCTCTAAATTCTAAATCTACTACATACAGTTCTTATCAGAAAAGAGATGCTTCTTTTAACAAAAGAAAAAAATACCTTCTTTGAAATGTACCTCTAAAGTTAGCCAATGGCATTAATGTGTGTCATAGACTACTTGATTTGCAAGGGTTTGCTAGGACCCTTAAAACATTAGATAGCTTCCTATTAAAGTTTATATGAAAATGAAAATAATATCCTGTCATTTGAAAGAGTAATTAAATATGTAATTCAGTACCTATATATAAATTCAGAAATAAATTCACTGAGATATATTTACTGAATGATTACATTCTTAAAAACTAAAGTTGAATAATAACTCTACTCTAACCCTGCATCTTGTCCAACATGGAAACCTTGTTTATGCAAGTGTAGCATGGATGTCCTTTGTGTGGTTGTGTTAAACTGTCCCTCAATCTAGCGTACTTGTGAAAAAACACATACCACATATTCCTTGAAGGAAAAGGTAAATCTTTATAGGATTCAAAAAGTTATCCTCCTTCATAAAACATTACTACAAGAAAATGTTGACAGCGTAGCTTCATGCATCTGAGTAGATTAGAAACCACTTCTCTGAGCTACTCTAAATATTGTCCCCTATGCCATTACTTAGTGAGTACAGATGATGGCCTGTCCTATAGTCGAATTGTGAACTTTCTTATGAAAGAGCTGATCAGAGCTACTTTTGTGGAACAACCTGTTTGCTCCTGGTACAGCTGACTCCTGGTTGGGAACCTTCAGTCCTTCCTGGCTAGATCCTTCGGTCTGGGTTCACTAGTTCAGGAAATGCATTGTTACGTGCATGGTTATTTAAGCATGAATGTCTCTTACAGTGAAGACTTATTGGAATTAACGGTTATGTTTTGCACCGTTTCTGTACTAATGATATTCTCTTCTCACAGGCTGTCCAGATTATGCTCGGCATCTTTAGTGTTTTAATGTGGTACTTCCTGTTGGTTTTATATATGGGACAAATTAAAGGAGTCTTCGGGAAATATGAACCTTTAACATACAAAACAGGATGCACACTGTGGGGAATTTTTGTGAGTAGACATTTATACAGATTTAATCACTCAGTGAATAATACCCATGTCTAAAGTAGAAGATAGAAAAAAATCTCTAAACAGAAGAGGGGGAGCCAGGTGTGGTGGTGGTGGGTGCCTGTAACCCCAGCACTCTGGGAGGCAGATGGAAGAGGATCCCAAGTCCAAGCAAATCAGCAAACTTAATGAAAACTTGTGGTAGACTGACAACTGGTGGTCAACTTGTAACACCCAGCTGAACTGCATCTGTGTGGTGCTGGGTGTGGGGGGCCCACTTGAGAGTTGCTGCCAGCAGCATAAGAGGCAGAACTGGAGAGGAGGAAGTTGAGAAGTTGTTAGGGAGCTGTTGGTTGTCCTGGAGCTGTTTGTTCTCCTGGAGGAGCTTATCATGCTGTCTCTCCTGATATGAGCTGGGCTGTTCTCACTGTCAGAGGAGCTCAGGACCTTGTTGTCACTGAGAATGGCTATGGTTCTCACTGGGGGAGCTCTGGTCCTTACTTTGAGCATCGCTTCTTGGCTTCAGAGGGGAAGATGGCGCACTGTTCAATGTCCTGGAGAAGCTTGTGGCACTGGCTTTCCTGATATAGTCTCGGCTATTCTCATCATCAGAGGAGCGTGGGACCTTGTCGCTGAGGATAGCTACGGTTCACTTCGGTGGAGCTCTGGTTCTTACTTTGAGCGTCACTTCCTGACTCCTGTGCAGATCCCTCAGCCTACTAGCACAGATCCTTCATCCTGTTGGCATAGGCTTTCTAGCTTCCACCACTGTCCCTTCGGCCTTCCCAGCACAGATCTGTGGAACAGACTTGCATGAGACATTATGGTGGGCCCTTGGCCTCCAGTTGGACCTGTTGGGGGCATTGTTATGGGCTCTAGGTCTTTAGCTGGACTCATACAGGACATTACTGTGGGATCCAGGCCCTCAGCTAGATTCTTCTGGTCTTTAGTGTGTGAGCAGATTTCTTGCAGTCTCTTTGTATATGACTCTTTGAGTGACTATTATAAAATAATTCTATAAATTATGTGTCCTGTATTGTTTTCCTTGCAAACCCTGACTACAACAGAACTTATCTCAAAAATGTTTTTAAAAAATAATTAACATGTACCATATACACGTATATATGTACCAGTTACCTGCCATGAAAGTAGCTGTTATGTATTGCAAACATGTACCAATAAGAAAGAGAGGCTGGTGATGTAGCTCTGTGCAAAGAAACTGGGTTCAACCCCTTGTACCACATAAATAAAAGAGGTCTTTGTTGTGGACCTGGCTGTGTTAGAATAACTGTCTAAGTCCCCTACTTGATCAGCAGAGATTCTTAGCCCCTGTTTTCAGAAGAATTCTGTAACTAAAGGCCACACTGGTACTTTATTAAAAGTTAAATTTTTTCATGCAACAAATTTGTTTTGAGCATCTTTGATGTACAGGTGCTGTTCCCAGACCTGCAGCGACAGGAGAGAACACACAGTGGCAACAGTAGGGCAACTGTCCAGAGGTACATCAAAGACGAGGAGCCCTGACCATACTTACAGTCTTCCCCTGCACCTCCTCACATACGTCGGCATCACTCCCTCAACTGCATCTTCTGTGATGTCCAGACAGCTCTAGTGTTAGGAGGGAAAGCTGGGGAGTGAGACATGCTGGAAGTCACAAGAAATGCTGTGTTACAAGAAATAGGGAGATCTCTCTCATCCTCTCTCTCTGTCTCTCTGTCATTGTTGATTCAGCAAATAAGATGAAAACTGAGAACTGCCTGCTGAGTTTAGCAGTACGGTGACCAGTTAGGAAGCGTGACAAGTATTTTCAGTAGATTTGTGTGGCAAGAGGCTGACTGAATCCGTTTGCGATACATAAGGAGGAGGATCACAAGTTCAAGCGCAGCCTGGCCAGTTTCTTCACTTAAGTCTGATCCTATCCCTAAATAAAAACTTTTTTTAAAGGGGCTGGAAATGTATCTCATTGTGAAGTCCCTAGGCTCAGCTCCTGGTACTACCCTGGCCCTGAAAGAAGAAATAGAGGAAGAGAGAAATCTGAGAAAGCGTGTACAGACGGGTCCTACAAGGACTTTGCTCTGATGCGCTACTGAGAAATGAGGCAGGGGCTGGGGAAATGTGGGCAACAGAGGTGCCTCTGAGTTGAAGTACTCTCTAGGCCTTTGGTAAAGGGACTGAACCAGGAGGAAGAAATTGATGATATGAAATAAATGAAGCACCAGGTATTTGTGTAGGCCAGAGGGGATGAAGTTTAATGCCCAAATAGCTGAGAGCATAGACAGTTATCTCCAACAGCAGTTCCCAGAAAGAGGTAGTTTACACCACAGAAACATTTCATAGTGTTTGGAGAGCGTCTGTGATTTTTCCAGGGCACATCTAGTGTTCAGAGGCCAAGGGTGCTACGAAGCAACCTAAGGGGCACAGGGAAGCCTCTGGCAGCAGAGACTGAGAAGCTTACAGCTGTAAATTGTGTTAGGCAGGGAACGAGATGGAAGACACTGTAAGAAAGAGAGCAGGCCAGGTGTGGTGGCACTCGGGAGGCTGAGGCAGGAGGATCGTTGCAAGTTCGAGACCAGCCTAGGCTACAGAGTGAGCTCCAGGCCAGCCTGAACTGCATCGCGAGACCCTGTCTCAAAAAGACAAAAAGAAGGGGCTGGGGATTTAGCTCAGCGGCAAAGCGCCTGCCTGGCAAGCACA